TCGCCAGATCCTCCCGGAAGTGAAGGACGACTAGCCCTCGCCAAGAAAATCTCTCACGCACCAGCTTTACCAATACGATCATGCGTTCTTGCACGATGCCATCCCGTACAGAGATCGCTTATAACACTTGGTTGTGACTGCAATGCTACAGTTTGAACATTTAATGTGCCAGAGTCCATGCAAAGGCAGAAGCTCATCAAGAACTTGTTGGTCCGTACATGAAGAGCAAGCAAGCATCCTCAGAAAAATACTGCTTCCTGCTCAGTTTGGTGACCGAGTTAAATGCATATTAACAGTGTTAACATTCACTTGTGCACATGCGAAACTTAGCCATGCTTTTTTAAAGCCGAAATTGAAATATTCAAGTTACATATAGGCAGAGAATGTCCTCGCAAAATTTCAACTTCCTAGCTTAATTGACTGGCGAAATCGCTTTTCGTTACAGAAATGTCTGAGTACAGTTCACCACCTATGCAGCTGCTAACTTTTCCAGTTACTCTGCCCGATGCTGTATTACTTCGTGACCTGCTTGCTGGAGTTGCTGAGATTCGTTTGATCTTCCGGAGGGGATATCAACTGAACCGGGTTTTTTTTTTTTCACTACGATGGCTTTTGGTCATTTTGAAATGCCCGCGGTGTATGCTGACTGTCACCTTCCTGACCTGAACATTGCCACTTTTAGAGCACAGTAAAGGCGGAGTTATTCGAATCAGAATAAATACCCAGACTGGAATGCTTCAGGCTTGCTGATGCGACCATGCATTTTTGCATCAAACTTGAAGTAATCAGGAAGTTAACTGCACGAATGGTTGCTGCTTTACACCTACCATGTGCACTCACTACCGTAAATCATTGTTGATTTTGCAAAAAGAATATGAACAATTTGCGTTCAATAGTCGTTTTTTGAAAAAGACCAAGCTGTTCAGTGAGCAATTTTCCCGCCAAAACTTTAAGTGCTTGTACGTGAGAATCACTCACGGCTAGAGGCTAAGTTCGAAATATTTAATTTATACTCGGACGGAGAACATCCCCTTAAAATTTCAGCTTCCCAACTTTTCTGACTGCCCAGTCAGCAATTTTCTCACCAAAACTTTCACGTGTCCGCACTAGAGAACAGCGCACGCCGAGGGGCTGATTTTGGATTTTTGGCTCACAGACGCACAAAGAACACCTTTGCAAAGTCTCAACTTCCTATCCTTTTGGTCCTCTAAATCGCTTTCACGCCAATAAATTTGCATATTTTTTAGGGCGCCTGTACACGGTACCCAAGTTCACACGAATGATGATATTAAATGGGAAGTTTGCACAGGTAGTGGGCGCATACACACGAAGTTTCAGATTCCTAGCTTTTCTGGCTCTCGAGTTGAAAGTGGGTGACAAAAAGTGCGGAAACGCAGACACACCTACTCACAAACACACACCTATACACGCATATACATATATATATATATATATATATATATATATATATATATACATACATATATATATGTATATGTATGTATATGCA